ATGAAATTGGAAGGATAGGAGGAAGGTGATTGCTGCCTGTGTGACACTAGGTACCACTTTTCTGAAGACAGCTCCTCTGGGAGCAGGGAGCACACTAGGCCTGCTTGTGCAACTTCTAAGAAGTGGAGGTCTAGGGTGCTTGGCCAGCTTGCCCAGGCCACGCACAGACCTTGAGCTCCAACACTCAGGCTAGAGCCCCTCGTGGCCAACTGGTACTGTCCAGCCAAGAAACCAAGAAAACAGCCACGGAGGGCTTCCAGAAACCTCCCTGTGTCATCCTGGGATTCCAGCAACCGTAGGAAGTGGCTCTTCCAGGGAAGGAGACCCAACTTGCCAATGTCACGCATCTAGAAAGGGGACAGTTTCCAAAAGTCCAGGCACTTTCCACAACAGACCTAGAGGGAGTGGTGGGCTGAGTTTAAGGTTTGTGGATCTACCCACCCTTTTCAGTAATCTTAAAGGCTAGTCAAGGGCCTGTGGGCAGGCCTGGAGTGGTCAGGCTGCCCCTATAGTTTTACCATCTGTGCACTATGCAAAGATATCTGGGGATAGTGGTAGCTGAAATCTGGCTAGTGTTTATCAAGTCAAATGCCCTGGCAACAAGGGGCTCCATCTATGGGAGGTGGAGATACACTGTGTGTGCATGCACGGGCTCAAAGTTGCCTTCTAACCAATATTTAAGCCCACTGGGATTGGTTTTAGTTCTGCACAGTCACCATATAGGTTAGATTGGTCTGGGAGGGTGGATATTAGGCCGACATGGCAAATAATTTGCATCTTCTGAGTCAACTCCAGCTCTTGTTTGTGGTATTTGGGCGCTGTGCTGAGAAGGAGCCTGAAGTCTTACCTGGGAAGGAGTTCTGCACTCAGGGATGTCTGTCCTAGGTGGGGGATGGGCAGTACAAGGAGAGTATTTGCCATTCTGGTAAATTCGCTATAAATTGACACCCTCTGTGTCAACACATAGTCCAAAGGAACCCAATGCTCAGCCCTGGGCCTGAGGAGAGGCAAATCTTAGCCTGGTAGTGTGTGCTTTGCTGCTTATTTCTGATCCAGGGAGTGCACGTAGGTTCTGAGGGTTAGGGGCTCCTTTTTTTTTTTTTTTGAGTTGGAGTCTCTTTTGCCCAGACTGGAGTGCAGTGGTATGCTCCCGGCCACTGCAGTCTTGACCAGCGATCCTTCTGCCTCAGCCTTCCAAGTAGCCGGAACTATATAGGTGCACACTACCACTCCCGGCTAATTTTTTTTTTTAATTATTTATTGTAGAGATGAGGTCTCACCAAGTTGCCTGGGTGGGTCTCAAACCTGTGGGCTCAGGCAATTCACTCACCTTGGCCTCCCAAAGTGCTGGGATTACCGACTGAGCCACCGAGCCCGGCCAGGGTTTCCTTTTCATGATTAATCAGCACAGGCATTTTCTACAGAGATAAGTAGCATCTACTTGCATGGCACTGTGAAGTCCCATCTTCTTCCCTTTCTCATGTCTGTTTGCCTTTTGGACTCAAACAAAGGTTGACTCCCTTATAATGACCCACTGCTGCTGCTTCTTTCTCAAGTTTCTCTTTTTCTGAGCTCAAAGTTCTGGGTTTGAAATTCCACCAACACCTACCAGACCCGTTGTGGATATTTCTCTACTTGCTCCTTCCTCTCCCCATCTCTCCAGATAAATCGAGGATTACAATTATTGAAGTTGTCTATATCACCCCCCTCCATAGCTGCTTACTCATAGATGGCAAAGCACCTCCCTGCTCCCACCCTCATTTGACCCTGTTAGTCACTGTAGAAGTTGGTGATGATGGGATCAACATTCCCATTTTGCAACTGGGAAAACTGAGGTTTACAGAGAAGGCAGAGACCTGCCCAAGGTCACTCTGCCAGGTTTCTTTCCTCCAAATCCAGAGTTCTCTGCGTTGTCCCATTCTGGAGAACATGGGGTGGGTGGAGTCACCAGACAGTGAGGGAAGAAAGGATGCAAGCCTCACCTGGGAGTTCCCTCCTACCTTTGGGTCTGAGGACAGTATATGGGGCTGGAACTTCCACACCAGGACCAATGAAGGGAGGGGGAGGATGTGGCAGTGGGCTAGGAGTCTATAGCTTAACTATCTGGCTTACAAGATGACCCCAGGCAAGTCTCCTTCCTTCTCTGGGTCGTGGTGCCTCCTCTTCTGTAAAGTGAGGACTTGGGTTAGAACCTGTGACATTTTAAATGCAGGTCTACCTAGTGTGTACATGATAGATAGAGTTTGAGCCTGGCCCAGTCTTCTGGTCTGACACCTAGGCCTCTGCCACCCATTACCTTGATCACACAGGACATGTTGTCTCAGGGGGTCCTGAAGCATACCTTCTCAGAGTCTGGCTAAGGGGCTGACCTTAGACCAGTCTGTCACTGTCCAGGCAAGCTGCCTGTAAGTTGCTCATATGTATTGATCACCTACAGGGCACAGAGCTCATGTGTTGAGCAGTGTGCTGTGGGCAAGGGGAGGGAGAAAAGTACAAAATCAAAGGAGCCATTCATGCTTCACAGGGAGCATAATCTGGCCATCCAACCATCCATCCATTTGTTCATCCCTCCCTCCCAACCTCCCTCCCTCCTCCATCTGTCCATCCATCCATCTCTCCATCCATCCATCCATCCATCCAATCATCTACCTAGCAACAACTTTCTGATCATCTACTATCTATGCACCAGTCACAGGAACAATGGAAGGGATGGGGGGAGAAAGGGACAGAGGCTACCAGTGTGGTCTTCAAATAGGACAGGCACCCTCATGGCATTAAATCACTCTGAAGGGCAGGGAAGGACCAGAGAATGTGTTTCTCTAAGCCAGTGTCAGACTCTCAGTCTTAGGTTGAGAACATGACAAGAGTACGTTGGTTAGCATTTTCCCTCTCCACAGGTCTTATCACTAACTATTGATAGCCTTATACCTGGTGGTTACCTGCTTGACACCCAAAGGAATTTGAATTTGTAACCCAAACTAGGGCAAAAGGTCAGCACTTCAAGGTAACAGAGCTACCTTCATCCAGAAGGTGAGGGGGGAGCAGAAAGAGGGAACTCTAGACTGGGGCTGGGTGCCTCAGGGTCTATTCTGGGCTCCCAACTACCTGCTTGTGTAGTTGTAAGATACCCCCTCTCTGAGCAGCAGTTTTCTCTGTGAAATCTAGGGAAGGTCTCTGTTAGTGGTTCCAAGTCCTGCCCCCACCCTTGAAAGCTCAAAGAATTCTGGTTCCAGAGATGGCCCCAAAGAGCAAGAGTAAAATTGTTATCACTTATTCCCAACTAATATGCGCCTTCTCCTTAAACAAATTGGTTTAACACTGTTTAAAAATATAAGGGGTATTGTACATATGTTTCTAATGAATAAATATGTTAAGATACAGTTGGTGTATGTGCTATCATTTGTATTAATTGCAAATTGATAAACAAATCTTTGCAAACTCGGAGATCTGAGATCAAAGCCCTTGGTCCTCACTGAAGGCCTCCAAATGCGCACTCCAAGCACCCATGGATGTGCTGAGATGTGCACCCTGCCTAGAACAGGTAATGGGAGGCTCGTGGAGGGGGACTGCGGCAGTTTGGTGGGATATCTTCTGTTTACCAAGTCCAAGCTGGTAAGCGTACAAACATCCCCGCAGGTGGGACGGTGACTGTTCCCCTTTCACAGAGGGGAAAACAGGCTTGCTCGCGGAGGGTCGGGGGCACGCAGAGTTCGCTCAGCTGGAAGGTGGCCGAGCTGGCTCTCGAACGCCAGAGTGAAGGCGGGAGAGGTGACTCGGGTCCCTGCCAGGCGGTCGGCTCCTCGGGGCGGGCACCGCGAGATTGCGTCTCTCCGCTGGGTCCCCAGGTACGGGCACAGCGCGGACCATCCCGAGACCAAGAGAGTGAAGGCCCCGGGGTTTCGGGGGTCGTCGGGTGAAGGCAGGGCGGGAATCTCTCAGAACTGGATTGGCTGGGGTGTTCCAGGGAGGTGGGTGACCGCCGCCTTCCCGAGCTCCCCTGGCCCGGGCTGGGGTCCTGGCGACCCGCCGAGGCACCAGGGAGGGCTGGGCCCGGAGCCGGGGCGGAGAAGCGGGGCGAGAAGCGAGGCGGGCCCAGGGCAGAAATAGGAGAAGAGAGGCGAGGAGGAGGGAAAGGAGAAGGGGGCGGGGAGTCTTTCCTGGGGCAGGAACCCGGGCCCCCCTTGGCGCAACCCGCCCGCAAAGCGATTCTGCAGATGGAAGGAATTAAGTGGGAGGGGGAGGGTCCTAGGGTGATAGCCAGAGGAGGGATTTAGGGGTGTGCGCGCGCGCGCACTCCAGCGCGCGTCTGGGAGGGGAGCGGGAGAGACACAGAGAAACATCAGACGAGACAGAAACAGAAAAGAGAGGACCGCACTCCAGTCCGGGCGACGGAGTGACACTCCAACTCAAAAAAAAAAAAGAAAAGAGAGGAAACAGAAAAGAGAGAAACCGGCAGAGAGAGAGAGAGAAACAGAGGGACGGAGTCACAGAGAAAGACGAACAGATCAGCAGAGCCGAAGGACAAGACATTAGTCCAAGAGAGACAGAGAGAGGGAGAGTGAGCGAATAAGAAAGTAAGAAAAATAGGAAAGGAAAAGCGAGTGAAGATGAAATAACTGGAGAGGATCTGGAAAGAACGAGACAGAAGAGAGCCGACAGCAGAGGAAGACGAGATTGATTACACCGGGGTGGTACTGAGCTCCCGCCGGGCTCAGGGAGCGGGGTTG